CAGTTGCTGGGGTCCTCAATTGTGCATGTTCTTGCCCTCCATGTAGGTCCACTGTGACCCTTCAATTTGCATAGTTTCCTCTGTTGTTTTCTCTCTAACTCTTCCCTGAGACTGCACTCTTTCTGCTCTTTTAAAAAGCTATTTTTTCCTAGACAAGAACAACAAGCTCCCTTACTACTCTGCCATCATGGTTCTCATTCTTACAACCTGCATATTTCCCCTTCTTTCTGATCTGAGCATTGTAAGGGCCATTGACTAGGGGTCACCAACTGGTCACTTTTAGCACTAAACCTAAGCTTGTGTTCCTAAAACAGGAAGCAGACAGTTGCTTTGAAAATCATATCTGAATTTTTCTGGGTCCAGTTACAGGGTCTTTCTTACCATTTAGATCCACTCCCATAAAAGAATACCAAGCATGTGCTGTCAAACCTTCCTCTGTCTTGCCTCTTAGCCATCTGTCTAACATCTCTCACTTGTCATTATTCTCTCATAGTACCTCTCCCACCTTCCATGTATTTTCACACTTCCCACTGCTAGACTATCACATCCAGCCCCTTTCCTCCAAAGCATAGACACAGAAACACACACACATGCAATAACACACACACAAACACACACACACATAAACACACAACCTCAAACAGTGCTGTCCATTTATTGTCCCTTTGTGAGCTATGTAATGATTAATTTTGACCCCTATCTAACAATGGACAATTTATCATCTTAAAAAAACTGTTTTGTGGACATCTTTCCAACAAAGATGCATGCAGACTGGAAGTGAAAGGTTGAAAAGATATTCCATGCCAACAGAAACCAAAAAAGAACTGGTGTAGCCATCTTAATATCAGACAAAAAAAACTTTCACACAAAAACTGTTAAGAGAGACAAAGAGGGGCACTATATAATGATTAAGGGATCAATTCAACAGGAAAATATTACTATTATAAACGTATATGACCCTAATTACAGAATACCAGGTTATTTAAAAGATATGTTAAGGAACTTAGAGGGAGACTTAGACTCCAATACAATAGTATTGGGGGACTTCATTACTCCACTTTCAGCAGTAGACAGATCAACCAGAGAATCAACGTTCGGATCTGGCTGAAGATACCATGAGAGTATTCTAGCAATGAAAAGCCAAAACACTCTGGCAAAAAAAAAAAAAAAAAAAAAAACACAACTAAATGAAAGATCTCTGCAAGTGAGATACCAGTGGAAAGAATAGGCCATCAAAGAAGGAGGTACCTTTCTCTGAAGGGAGGAGAGAACTTCCACTTTGACTATGACCTTGTCTAAATATGATCAGAGTCAGCGAACTCAAAAGGCTTCCATAGCCTTGGCAACTCATGACAAGAGCCTAGGCTGATTACTGATGCCATAAACAAGAGTGTCAATTTGTTAAGTCAACAACAAGAGTCACTGTGCACTTACTCCTCATGTAGGATCTCTGTTCTTAATGTGTTGTACAATGTGAATAAATGCTATAACTAGTACTTAAACAGTATATTACACTTAGTGTTTTGGTGTGGGTGCAAACTGTTGAAATCTTTACTTAATATATACTGAATTGATCTTCTGTATATAAAGATAATTGAAAATGAATCTTGATGCAAATGGAATGGGAGAGGGAGAGGGAGATGGGAGGGTTGTGGGTGGAAGGGAAGTTATGGACAGGAAAGCCATTGTAATCCATAAACTATACTTTGGAAATTTATATTTATTAAAAAAAATTAAAAAATAAAAAAAGAAAACAGCAGATTTAATCAAAACTATAGACCAAATAGATCTAACAGATATTTCATAAGTTTTTGTCCTACACTTGAAAAATACACATTCTTCTCAGCGGCACATGGAACCTACTCTAGGATTGACCACATACTAGGCTATAAAGCAAGTCTCAGCAAATTAAAAAAAAACCGAAATCATATCACGTATTTTGTCAAACCACAATGGAATGAAGCTGGAAATTAGCAACTCAGGAATCCCTAGAGCATATGCAAACACATGGAGACTGAACAACATGCTCTTGAATGAACAGTGGGTCATAAAAGAAATCAAAAGAGAAATCAAAAACTTTCTGGAAGTAAATGAGGATAACAACACAACATATCAAAACTTAGGGGATACAGCAAAAGCAGTGTTAAGAGGAAAGTTTATAGCAATAGGTGCCTACATCAAGAAACTGGAAAGACACCAACAAATGAGCTATCAATGCATCTCAAGGATCTGGAAAAACTGCAGCAAACCAGACCCAAAACTAGTAGGAGAAGAGAAATAATTAAAATTAGAGAAGAAATCAACAGAATTGAATCCAAAAAAACATTATGAAAGATCAGCAAAACGAAGAGCTGGTTCATTGAAAAAATAAACAAATTGACAACCATTGGACCAAATAACTAAAAACAGAAGAGAAAAGAGCCAAATCAATAAAATCAGAGATGAAAAAAGGAATGTAACAGCAGATACCACAGAAATAAAAAGAGTCATCAGAAATTACTACAAAGAGTTGTATGCCAACAAACTGGGAAATCTATCAGAAATGGATAGATTACTGGACATATACAACCTACCTAAATTGAACCATGAAGACATACAAAACCTAATCAGACCCATAACTGAATCAGAAATTGAATAAGTATAAAGACCCTCCCAACAAAGAAAAGCCCATGACCGAATAGATTCAAAGCTGAATTCTACCAGACATTTAAAGAACTAACTCCAATTCTTCTGAAACTATTCAGAACAATAGAAAAATTTGCTCCCAAATTCTTTCTATGGAGACAGCATCACCTTAATTTCTAAACCTGAAAAAGATGCAGCAGAGAAAAGAATTACAGACCAGTTTCCCCAATGAGCATAGACCCAAAATCCTAAACAAAATTCAGGCCAATAGAATGCAACACCCAGACCAAGGGGGATTTATCCCTGATATGCAGGGATGGTTCAACGTTTGCAAATCAATCAATGTGATACACCACATTAAGAAACTACAGAAGAAAAACATATGGTTATCTCAATAGATGCAGAGAAAGCATTTGATAAAATACAACACCCTTTTATGATGAAAACTCTAAGCAATTATGTATGGAAGGAACATTCCTCAATACAATCAAGACAATTTATGAAAAACCCACGGCCAGCAATCTATGGAATGTGGAAAAGTTGGAAGCATTTCCACTGAGATCAGATACCAGACAGGGATGCCCATTCTCACCATTTTTTTTTGACAGGCAGAGTGGACAGTGAGAGAGAGACAGAGAGAAAGGTCTTCCATTAACCATTGGTTCACCCTCCAATGGCCGCCGTGGCTGGCGCACTGCGCTGATCCAAAGCCAGGAGCCAGGTGCTTCTCCTGGTCTCCCATGGAGTGCAGGGCCCAAGCACTTGGGCCATCCTCCTCTGCACTCCCGGTCCACAGCAGAGAGCTGGCCTGGAAGAGGGGCAACCGGGACAGAATCCGGCACCCTGACTGGGACTAGAACCTGGTGTGCCGGCACCGTGAGGCGGAGGATTAGCCTAGTGAGCTGCGGTGCTGGCCACCATTGTTATTCAATATAGTACTGGAAGTTCTAGCCAGAGCCATTAGGCAAGAAAAAGAAATTAAAGGGATACAAATTGGGAAGGAAGAACTCAAACTATCCCTCTTTACAGATGATATGATTATTTAGGGGATCCAAAGAACTCTACTAATAGTAGAGACTATTGGAAAGCATAGAAGAGTTTGGCAAAGTAGCAGGATATAAAATAAAGGCACAAAAATCAACAGCCTTTATATACAAAGGTAAGGCCACAGCTGAGAAAGAACTGCTAAGATCAATTCCACTCTCAAAAGCTACAAAACCAATCAAATACCTTGGAATAAACTTAACCAAGGAAGTCAAAGATCTCTACAATAAGAATTACAAAATATTGAAGAAAGAAATAGAAGAGGATACCAAGAAATGGAAAAATCTTCCATGCTCATGGATTGGAAGAATCAATATCATCAAAATGTCCATTCTCCCAAAAGCAATTTATAGATTCAATGCAATACCAATCAAGATACCAAAGACCTTCTTCTCAGATCTGGAAAAAATGATGCTGAAATTCATATGGAGGCAAAGGAAACCTCGTACAGCTAAAGGAATATTGTACAACAAAAATAAAGCTGGAAGCATCATAATACCAGATTTCAAGACATATTACAGGGAAGTTATAATCAAAACAGCCTGGGACTGGTACAGAAAGTGATGGATAGACCAGTGGAAAAGAACAGAACCACCAGAAATCAATCTAAACATCAATAGCCAACTTATATTTGATCAAAGATCTAAAATCAGTTCCTGGAGCAAAGACAGTCTATTCAACAAGTGGTGCTGGGAAATCTCGATCTCCACATGCAGAAGCATGAATGAAGACCCTTACCTTACACAAAAATCCATGCAATGTGGGTTAAAGACCGGCATCCTATAAGGGTGCCAGGTTCTATTCCTGGTTGCTCCTCTTCCAGTCCAGCTCTCTACTGTGGCCCTGGAGGTCAGTGGAGGTTGGTGCAAGTTTTTGGGCTCCTGCACCTGCATGGGAGACCAGGAAGAAGAATCTGGCTCCTGGCTTCGAATCAGTGCAGCACCAACCGTAGCACCATTTGAGGAGTGAACCAACAGAAGGAAGACCTTTCTCTCTGTCTCTCTCACTGTCTATAACTCTACCTGTCAAATAAAAAAAAGATAGGATTAAGTGTCAAAGGAATTACATAAATAAGACCAGTGTCTGCAATAATAATTGATAGAATTAAAAAGAAGAGAATGATCCTACATGGAAGCAGGATACACAGCAGACTCATAGAATTGCAAATGCCCTAAACAGCACTCCGGACTCAGAATCAGTCCTTAAGGCATTCAAATCTGGCTAAAAAGCCTCTGATAGTTTTGTAGGCATGGAGAGCCAAGACACCATGTCAAAAAAATGACCTAAATGAAAGATCTCTGTGAGTGAGATACCAGCGGAAAGAACGGGCCATCAAAGAAGGAGGTACCTTTCTCTGAAGGGAGGAGAGAACTTCCATTTTGACTATGACCTTGTCTAAGTAAGATCAGAGTTGGTGAACTCAAGAGGCTTCCATAGCCTTGCCAGCTCATGACAAGAGCCTTGGGTGATTACTGAAGTCATAAATAAGAATGTCAATTGTTAAATCAACAACGGCAGTCACTGTGCACCTACTCCCCATGTAAGACCTCTGCCCTTAATGTGTTGTGCTATGCGAATTAACGGTAAAACTACTACTCAAACAGTACTCTATACTGTGTCTGTGTGGGTGCAGTTTGTTGAAATCTTTACTTAGTATATAGTAACTTGATCTTCTGTATATAAAGATAATTAAAAATGAATCTGGATGAAGAATGGGATGGGAGAAGGAGTGGGAGATGGGATGGTTGTGAGTGGGAGAGAGGTTATGGGAGGGGAAGAGCTGCTATAATACAATAGTTGTACTTTGGAAATTTATATTTATTAAATAAAAGTTGAAAAAAATAAAAGGACTACAAAAGATTATTTTGTTGTACTGGAACAATGGCATAGTATTCTAAGCCTCTGCTTGTGGTGCTGGCATTCTACTATACTGGCACCAGTTCTGGTCCTGGCTTCACCTCTTCTGCTCCTGCTCTCTGCTATGGCCTGGGAAAGCAGAAGATGGCCCAAATGCTTGGGCCCCTGCACCTATGTGGGAGAGCTGGAAGAAGCTCCTGGCTCTTGGATTCATATTAGCCCAGATCCAGCTATTGTGGCCATCTAGGGAGTGAACTAGTGAATGGAAGACCTTTCTCTCCATCTCTTCCTCTGTCTGTAACTCTACTTCTCATATTAATAAAAAAAAAGAAATTGTTTTGTTCTAAATGCTTATAGCCCCTGTGAAAAGTTGAAAAAAGTATTATAATTCAAACTGTTTTGCTTATGTCTTATATATCAAAGCAATGAGTTGTCTTTTCCTGGAAGAAGCTATAGAATCCTCCTCTAGATCAATGCAGCTATTCCAAAGTGATGGTTTTTCTACCTTGAGCAGCTTCCTAATGATTGAAGCTTCCTCACCTTCTGCATTCTGGTGAGTTTCATTTGCCCCATGCCTAGGCTGACTGACTTCCAATGACATCAGACTTGTAAATCTTTAGTTTTAATTCTAGATTAATGATTCAATCACTTAGCATATTTTGAAATGATCACAAGAAATGTTGAAACATTTTTAATCTCACACATAGACATAAACAAATAGTCCGATTACAGTTAACTTGAGGAGATGAGACTTGCACCATAGGCATTAATTCTGGAACAATATAAGAATGCTAAGCTAGGTGCTAAAATTAAATGATTTTGTCAATGAGATCCCAAGGATGACAGGGAAGTCTTAAAGGAATGAAGGCAGAAGGAATATAGGGAAGTATTGGAAGAAAAAGAGGTTGGCTGAAGTCATAGGAACCTGATCAGCATAGGTGTGGGGAACGTATGACTACTCAGAATTTTCTGAGTGCTTCATTTTACTGTATGATCTTTCAGGATCAGAAGGATTTGTAGGAGAAGAAACAAAGAGGGGCTTGCATGTAAAGAGAACAATTAAAGCGGCCAAAACATTTATGATAGTAAGTGATGAAAAAGAAAGTTGAATAATTACGGTAAGTCACAGAATAATTATGGTGAGTCCCAGAAAAGCCACAACCAAACACAAGGGCTTGAACTTTAAATATTAGACATAGGCATTATGTATTGGGAATGCTTATGGAAAACTGGGTCCAAAGAACCTGAAGTCTGAGGCTGGGAACAACTGGGTCAGAGGTCATTTTAGTTATAAATTTGAAAGACAGTGATTTTTTTCTATATAACAAAATGTATTAAAATATTTTACCTGTTAATTCCTCTTGATAAATATGATGGGAATAAGTTTTTAAAAAGAGCAGTAAAGTAGATTAGTTCACATATCTATGAATGAAATCATGTTTAACTTCATCCTCTGCCATTTTTCAAGTACTATAGTGGCAGAGATACTTGGGTAAAGACAGGTTAGAGTTACCATTTAGCTATAAGGTACAGTACCACGGAACAATGAGTATTAAAACCCACTCCCTCCATTTGTTCTTTCATCCTATATCTCCTCAGTACTATGAACCATAAAGTGAGCTGATCTCACAGAAGAGTTGAAGAAATGAAATGAAATGAAATGGCAGAATGGCTTAGATAAACCATTATGAGAAATGCAGTTTTTCAAAATATGTAAGAAGATATAAAACTTTAACACACATTCATTTTAAACTATTTTATCAATATGTTTCATGTGTATATTATGCTGACAGTTGTTATTTATTTCCTAAAAGTAGTGGAATATTATTCTTGACAGTTTTCAGAATGGGGATTTTAGTTCATTATCTCTTAAAGATGGTGTAGTCTTCTTGCAACTTTTGTCAGCAATAATTTGGTGGATATTTTGAAGAATCTTCATCAATTAGAGTGCAAAGACCAGTAATATATTTGATATATAGATGAAAGGTGGAAAAATGAATCAAGCAACGCATCCAGGATTATGAGGACAATGGAGGTTTCTAAGGAAATTAGAAAGATGAGTTGTATTGTGAACATTGGATTTGTTCTTGATTACATGACTTGGCACCAATGTCAAGAAACCCAAGCAAAAGTGTTTGGGAGGCATGATAAGTACCACAGAGTTATTACTCTTGATTTGTGACCTGCTATTCCTGTGTTTTAAAGAATCTTTCTTTTCATGTTGGATTGTTCTTATGGAGTAAGTTGTCAATATTATTTACTTGTTTGACAAATGTAGTGACAGATTTGAACTGGCCACCAGCACATACACACATAGACAAAATTTATATTTATTCATTTATAGAATATATTCATCTTAAAATAACCCTCTAACTCAATAACTTTGCATTTTTGTCAATAACAAATATAAAGAAAATTAAACTTTTCCACTAGTATGTCAGTGAGTAAGCAACATTTTTCTACTATGAATCTACAAATCTTGAGTTTGGTGGGGGAATAAAATATTTTCACATAGAAAATTTCTTCCTCAAAACTTTCATGGAACATATAATATCAAGGAAAGGGACAGTCTCCAAAGTTCCCATCATCCCCACTACCCCTGCTGCCACAGTTCCCCCAAATTGGATTTAACTGTCATGAATGAAAGTAATCCATTATCTAAGCAAGCCATGTCATTGCAAAGAATATTAGAGTATTTCAGAATTTTGCCAGAGTTCAATGGGGAAGTATAGAAGAAATCAAAGATATGCTTAGGGATCCATATTTTCAAAACAGTAAGAGAAATTAAGAGCAAGGAAGTCTCAGGTTTAGCTTTCTCCAGAAAAATTCCTTTCAATTTATTTGTGTAAGAAAGAGATAATGCCAGAAACTGAAGATTAAAGGATATTTGATGTGGTAAACAGGTTACACTAGATTCAGTATTAGTCAGAACAAAGATGGAGGCTTATTTTTAAAATAAGAAAACCTGGAGGGGCTCAGAGCCGTGGCTCACTTGGTTAATCCTCCACCTGCAGCACCGACATCCCATATGGGCGCCGGGTTCTAGTCCTGGTTTCTGCTCTTCCAGTCCAGCTCTCTGCTGTGGCCTAGGAGGGCAGTGGAGGATGGCCTAACTGCTTGGGCTCCTGCACCTGCATGGGAGACCAGGAAGAAGAACCTGGCTCCTGGCTTTGGATCAGCGAAGCGTCAGCTGTGGTGGCCAGTTGGGGAGTGAACCAACGGAAGGAAGACCTTTCTCTCTGTCTCTCTCTCTCTCACTGTCTATAACTCTACCTGTCAAGTAACTAGAAAAAAAAGAGAAAAAACCTGGAAATAGGACTTTAGCTTTGGTATTATGCTTAGGTGGGTTTAGGACTTGTCCATTACAGAAATGATTTAAAGATAGGCACTTATTATACCCATTCAAGAAAAATAAGCAAAATATTATTATGTATTTTAATATTTTACATTTCTAGGATCAAAACATATACTTTAGTTGTGAGGATATAGAGTACGGAACCCAGTGATACAGAAACTAATCTTCAAATGAAGGGAAATAGATTCCAACTGGAAAATAGAACAGCAGGATTATATCATAGAAACTCACCTTCTAAGCTCCTCTTTTTTTTAAGATTTTTTTTTTTTCACTTGAGAGTCAGAGTTACACAGAGATGAGAGGCAGAGAAAGAGAGAGAGAGAGAGAGAGAGAGGTCTTCCATCCAACGGTCCACTCCCCAATTGGCCGCAACAGCCGGAACTGCTCCAATCCAAAGCCAGGAGCCAGGAGCTCCTTCCGGGCCTCCCATGTGGGTGCAGGGGCCCAAGGACTTGGACCATCTTCCACTGTCATCCCAGGCCATAGCAGAGAGCTGGACTGGAAGTGGAGCAGCCAGGACCAGAACCGGCACCCATATGGAATGCTGGCGCTTCAGGCCAGGGCGTTAAACCAATGCGCCACACCGGCCCCTAAGCTCCTCTTTCTAAAGCTAATTTACTCCAACTAGCCCAGATATTGACAGTGGGACCTAAACCCAGATCTTCTGATTCTGAAACATCAGTAGCATCTGTGGATCATGTTGAAACAATCTGTCTCTAAGTTATTCTATCATTGTTCCATCCACTTTCAAAGCAGAAGCTTGAGGTGTTTACTACTCCCTCTATATATCTGTGTAAGTCACTCATGAGAGTCTTACTCAAATTTGTAACTTCAAATTCAATGATGTGGGCCCAGTGTTGTGCATGGTGGGCTAAGTCTCAGCCTGAAGTCCTAGCACACATGGGTGCCAGTTCATGTCCCAGATGCTCCTCTTCTGATCCAGCTCTTTGCTGTGACCTAGGAAAGCAGTGAAAGATGGTCCAAATGTTAGGGCCCTTGTATTTGTGTGGGAGATCCTGAGGAAGCTCCTGGCTCCTGGCTTCGGATAAGCCCAGTTCCAGCTTCTGCAGCCATTTGGGGAAAGAACTAGCAAATAGAAGACCTCTCTTTCTGTCTTCCCTTCTCTCTGTCTGTAACTGTATCTCTCAAATAAATAAATAAAATCTTTTAAAAATAAAATAACAAAATATCAATATGCACCTTTCTTAAAGTAATAATTTATATTTTAATCTTAGAAGGAATACTATTACAGGCAAATAAATATGCTTTATTCACACTGCCTGTAGCTGTAAGACAAGTAGCAAGTAGCCTTAAAAGAAGTGTAGCCACTAGATTCTGGAGTCTCAGGCAAGTTAACTGAGATACCATATGGTCGGCCCCATCCTTGTTTCATACCTGAGTAGGTCTTTATCAGGATCTGCATCTGTAAATCAGTGTTACAGCCTTCATTAGATGTTCTGGAAAAGTAGGCGGGGGATGGGGGAGCAGCAGAGGAATAGGCCTTCAATTATGTTGATATATATACCAGTGCTTGGCCAGTTGGACACAGATAGTTCACCTAAAGAATCAGTGAATCAGTTAGAGTGACTTTTGAAAAGGTCTTGGAAGGATTAAGAAGCAATAAAACAAACCAAAAGAGCAGCATTCTGGCATTATCTCACTACCAGTAGCCTGAGGGGCAAAGGGAGAAAACAGTTAATAGACCTTCAAGAAAATGCAGTAGCTGTAAATGTGATCTGTTAGGCATGAACTACCACCTTCAGCAAACAACTCAGCCAAGAAAAGAAAAGGAAAAGCTCAAACAGCCCTGGTGATGACCCGGCCTTGAGAGATCCAGACCAAGGTACCCTGAACTTCCTACCCTTTCTCCCTCTAATTTCCTGCAGTGCATCCCTTTGTACACAAACCAGAAGCCGGGTGATAAGGGAGCCTTTGAGGAAGACTTGGAGGTCAGTATCACAGGAAACCAAGAGCCGATGAGGTGAGTAGCTCTGAGAGGCAAAGAAAGTGCCCAAAGTGGGCAATGGTTGTGAGGGGGTTAAAGAATATTTCTTTTTTTTTTTTTTTGACAGTTTTTATTTTTTTATTTTTTTTTAATCTTTTATTTAATGAATATAAATTTCCAAAGTACGACTCATGTGTTACAATGGCTTCCCCCCCATACCGTCCCTCCCACCCACAACCCTCCCCTTTCCCACTCCCTCTCCCCTTCCATTCACATCAAGATTCATTTTCGATTATCTTAATATACAGAAGATCAGCTTAGTATACCTTAAGTAAGTATTTCAACAGTTTGCTCCCACACAGAAACATAAAGTGAAAAATAATAGATGATTTTTTTTAAATGATGATGAAATCAGATCAGACCTATTGTCATGTTTAATCCCAGTGAGAGTCAAGTTGGGAATTGATAATTTCTTTCTTTTTTTTTTTTTTTTTTACAGAAGATCAGTTTAGTGTACATTAAGCAAAGATTTCAGTCGTTTGCACCCCCATAGAAACACAAAGTGAAATATACTGTTTGAGTACTCTGGAACACATCATGCTGAGTGAAGTAAGCCAGTCCCAAAGGGACAAATACCATATGTTCTCCCTGATCGGTGACAACTGACTGAACACCAAAAAGGAAACCTCCTGAAGTGAAATGGACACTATGAGAAATGGTGACTTGATCAGCATAGCCCTGACTGCTAATGGACAACTTAATACATTATCCCTCATAGTATTTTTTTTTTGTCTGTTCTACTTAATATGACTGGTTTAATTCTGTAATTATCACACAGTTATTCTTAAGTGTTGAAAATTAACTGAAATGTGATCCCTGTTAAACATAAGAGTGGGAATAAGAGAGGGAAGAGATGTATAATTTGGGGCATGCTCGGGCTGACTTGCCCCAATTGGTAGAGTTGGAAACATACCAGGGGATTCCAATTCAATCCCATCAAGGTGGCATGTGCCAATGCCATCTCACTACTCCAAGTGATCAATTTCAGTTCACAATTGATCATAATGAAAGGACTAAGAGTCAAAGGGAGCACATAAACAAGTCTAGTATCTGCTAACACCAACCGATAGAATAAATAAAGGGGAGAGTGATCCAACATGGGAAGTGAGATACTCAGCAGACTCATAGAATGGCGGATGTCCTAAATAGCACTCTGGCCTCAGAATCAGCCCTAAAGGCACTCGGATCTGGCTGAAAAGCCCATGAGAGTATTTCAGGCATGGAAAGCCAAGACACTCTGGCAAAAAGATCTCTGTGAGTGAGATCCCAGTGGAAAGAACAGGTCTTCAAAGAGGGAGGTGCCTTTCTCTGAAGGGAGGAGAGAACCTCCACTTTGACTATGACCGTGTCTAAACAAGATAAGAGTTGGAGAACTCAAAGGGCTTCCATAGCCTTGGAAACTCATAACTGGTGCATAGGGAGATTACTGATGCCATAAACAGGAGTGTCAATTGGTAAAGTCAACAACAGGAGTCACTGTGCACTTACTCCTCATGTAGGATCTCTGTCCTTAACGTGCTGTACACTGAGGCTTAAAGAATATTTCTAAGCACTAGTATTGGTTATATATGACTGGTGAATGTTTGGTATTTAGTCCCTACACTAAAGGCTCTTGGGAGCAGAGCTCTGCTGTTAGTAAAACTTCAGAATCTGAACAGGAAAGCTGTCTTGAGCCTGTTGACTGGGCTGGGACCTTTCTAATCATGGCTTACACATTAACAACCTGGGACAACCCCTGGGGCCCTGAGAAGGGAGAACAGCAGGAAGTCAGTAGCTTTCATTTTCTTAGAGAACCACCCAGGACAGGAACAGACAAAGCCAGCCTAGAAAGAGGTCCTTTCACTTTCAAGCTTATTCTGGGCATTGGAAGCTAAAGTGAACTCAAGAGGGTTGTTTTTTGTTTTGTTTAGTTTTTTTTTTTTTTTTTTGGTGCAAATGAACAAGCAATGTTTCTTAAAACCAATTAAACATACCTGGGATTGGAAATGATTGCAAAGGATGGTTTTCTCATTTCAAATCAGGGTTTAAGGTTCATTTGTGAGAAATCAATGTAACCACATTTATCCTTGGCCTAGTAATGCAAAAAATGTAGTTACAGTAAAGTGATTTTAGTCTTTTGAAACGGTGGGTAACATGAACAATTCTGACAGGATGGAAATTTCAGGCTAAGTGTATGAAATTGAAATTCAATAATGATGTGGATTTTTGGGGAGAAGGTGTATTTCATCCAACAACATGTAGGTAATTTATGTGAAAAAAATGTAATTGTGTTCCAGTAAATGATGTGACCCTGAAATTTTCATGGGCTGAGTTTGATCAGATTTTCACAACCCAGCACATTTTCACCTCTAGTTAAATAGTTCCAAAGGAAGAAGGACTGTGTTGATGACAGCAGGCCTTGCAAAAACCAGCCCCAGCAAAGCAATCCCCTTCTGTTTTCCTCCTTTCAAGAGAGGGCATCAAGCGTTCATTTGAAATTTTTCTCTTAATCTGTTTTCCATTGATGGCAGCAACTGAGAAAAGTTTTCAACCAGGAAAAGTCAAGCTAAGTCAAACCACTTTTGCACGCAACAAGCATACAAATTGGCTACTTTTTAAAAATAAGAACTTAACCATATGCTTTGAATTTCAAAGTGGGATTACATACTAACAGGCTGCATTATCCTTAAATCACTTTATGAGTGTGTGTATTTGTTTGTGTGTCTGTATGTGTGTATCTCTCTTTTCTCAATACCCCGCCTCAAGGATGATCCTTGGATAGGGCCAGTTCGACAAATGACTCATGACTCCCACAGGTTGCATCTCTTATGGACACTGGAGAGATTGGTTTGCTGTAAACAGGCTCTATGGAGTCCTAGAAAGCACAGATTTCAATCAAGTACGTATCTTTAATATATAACACTTGACTAAATATTTTTTAAATAAAAATATGGGGTTAAATGGTATAGTTTGGAGTTTCAGAAATTCACAGCCAGCTACTGTGTGTGTATGAGGAAAATGGTCTTCAGCTTGGAAATGAATGCAAAAAAAGGGGTAAAGGGAGATTTCCCCAGATGCCTCTCAAGTTGGGTATGCGGTTGGCTGAATTCAAAAGTAGCTCTACAAGAAACTGCTTTATAGTCTCAATCCCAGGCAGAGTTATGCATAAAGTACATGAATTTTTTGCATTCTGAAAAAAGTGTTGGGTGATTGTTTGGGGTGGTGCCTCTTTGGGTACTGCTCTTGGGATCTTAGTTCTCACCCACTCTAAGCAATTACATATGTTTGATAAGAATAAATGTGACAGTAACGTCTGGGATTTGCTCTTCTTTCACAGGAAGCAGTGTCCATTGGAATTCTCAGGTTGAGGGAGAGTTGGGGAAATAACCAAACTTGAGTGTCATCCTGTTTCTTTTCCTTACAATTGCTCCAGTGTTTCTGGTCATATGCATTCTCTGGACCTTTGGAGAAGTGGTCCTGGGAACAGATGGGAATGGTGGAAAGAAGAAAGTGGTGACCTATCTACACACAGAAGGGTCACAGCCTTTGGCTAACTGCTAGTTGACATAGTGAGTGTGTGTCTGGCTTTATTGGGCAAAAATGGAGGGGAATCGCTGTCAACAATGCTATCTACATGTAAATAGGGCATTTATGTACTCTATTCTAAATCTTAAAAAATTTCTTTTCCATGCATAGAAAAAAATAGTTGAATTTCTGGAACACTTTTTCATTAGAATGCCTGTCACATTCTATCATTAAGAATTTTTTTTTTTTTTTTAAATTTATTTTTCTTTTGTTTATGGAATACAACTTCATGCATTTAATACACATAGATTTGGGAACATGATGCTTTTTTTTTTTTTTTGACAGGCAGAGTGGACAGTGAGAGAGAGAGACAGAGAGAAAGGTCTTCCTTTGCCATTGGTTCACCCTCCAATGGCCACTGTGGCCGGCGCACCACGCTGATCCGAAGCCAGGAGCCAGGTGCTTCTCCTGGTCTCCCATGTGGGTGTAGGGCCCAAGGACTTGGTCCATCCTCCTCTGCACTCCATGGCCACAGCAGAGAGCTGGACTGGAAGAGGAGCAACCGGGACAGAATCCGGCACTCCGACCGGGACTAGAACCCGGTGTGCCGGCGCCGCAGGTGGAGGATTAGCCTATTGAGCCGTGGCGCCAGCCCACATGATGCTTCTTTACCTCCTCTTTCTCCCCCCATCCATACTTCTACCTTTCTTCCTCCTCCCTCTTCCTTTCTCATTCTTATTTTTTATAGAGCTAAATTAGAATTTTGGATTAAAAGGAACAACCAACAATTCTGACAAAAATTGTAACAGTGAACTCATAAGATGTAACCTATTATTGCATCATGCCTGGATTCAGACAGAAATTTTGATTCTTACATTTTTAAAAAGATTTATTTATTTGAAAGGCAGAATTACAGAGAGAGAGGGAGAGACACACAGAGAAACAGAGATCTTCCATCTATTAGCTCACTCTGCAAATGGCCACCATGGCCAGGGATGGACCAGGATGAAGCCAGGAGCCAGGAACTGCATCCAGGTCTCCCATGTGGGTACAGGGACCAAGTAGATTAGCTGGATCGGAAGTGGAGCAGCTAGGACTCGAACTGATGCCCATGTGGGATGCCAGCACTGCAGATGGTGACTTAATACACTACACCATAGCACTGGACCAGATTCTAACGTTTTTTTTAAAAAATGAAAGCAGAAAGCATAAATGGTTTGACTCTCTGTGGCTTATATAGCAACTTGTATTGCTCAATAGCTTATCATACTGTACTAGTATTTCATGATTTCTGATTTCATATTTCACCTTGCAGCACACATTAAAATTAACATATTTGTACCAATATTGAGATAATTAGATTGTCCACAACTAGGAGCAATTTTTCTAAGGCTCCAGTTGTCCAGGCCCTACGGATCTCCCTAGTGCTCAGCTTACTTACTACAACTTATCTTTGCAGAGAGAATGGCTTTTCATGTCTTTTTGTACACTCAGTGTCCCTCTTCTATATACTAACACATGGTGCAAAACTCTGACAGCTGAGCAACGCTTTGTGAACAGATTAAGAGTGTCATTGTGAAGGGACTTGGATTGACTTGATACCACCTTGATCTCCATCTAGGTGAGGTTCATTTACACTGTAATTGCTCACCTGCCACATCTGATCTTCCTTTTCCCTGCCTGCTGTGTGTGTGCTGCCTTAGAAAGGGCAACATCACTGCAGTTCCTCTAGCATCATGAAGTCTCCTGATATGTCAATTTCAAGAGACAATGAACTATAGAATGACTTTTCTTCCTATATTGCAATTTCTCTTTTACAATGGTAAAAATTGTAAAAGCATGGATAAGCAGAAATGCAATTAAGTACAACATGTTCCAAACATCTAATATTGTGGAACTTGGGCAGAAAATCCCCAGATTTTGATTCTATTTCAGTCAAGACAGGTTATAAAACCAGGATTCATTTGTCATTAAATTGCATGTTCATCAGGTCTGGCAAGAAGATTCTCTTTATCATAGACATTCAGGAACCCAGGAGGATGGAGGCTGCAACTTAACATGTGCTTTCACAGTGCAGGAGTAAGGAAAAAGGTGTCAAACCACATGCTGATCCTTAAAGCTTCTGACAAGGTTGAACACATATTTCTTCCACTCACATTTCATTGGCTAAATAAGTCATATGGCTATGACTGAGTTCTTTTGCAGGCAGAGACACCAAATATTTGTGAACAATAATTTAGTATATCTCTGGCTTTACGGTCTCATTAGGAGGAAAAAGGCATTTGTTCATTCAGCAAAGATTTTCAAACAGTTACTATATGTCAGAATCCTTTGAGCTTGTAACCTACCAAAAAAACAAAGCATGCAATGCTCCTGCCATCATAGTTTGTATTCCTGTGAAAATACAAAGAAAATACACAATAAATGTAATGTAAAGTAAATATATATTTCATTAGGAGGTGAATTCTATGGAAAGAAGAAATTGTACAAGATTAGACTGAAGGAATGGGAGCTTACGCCTGGATATATCTGAGGAAAAGGGGTGGTAATTTGAGATATAGCTGTCAGCAAGTGAGGACTCACTATAAAAGTAAAGTTTGAGCAAACGCTTGATGTAAGTCAGGAAGCCTCACTGCAGATGCAATGAAATGGGGCCTCCTGTTTCTGTACTTTGATTGAGTTACACATTCACTGGTGGGTTTTGAAAAGAAAAGTGATGTGACTCATGATGTGACTTTTGTTTTCAGAAGCAACTAGTTGGGTTCAGGATGAAGACAAAGACACCCATTGGAAAGCTACTTCAGGAGCCCAGGTGAGATACGATGGTGGCTCACACCAGGGTGAGAGCACTGGAGGTGGTGAGGGGTACTCAGAACTTGTATATTTCCTGACAGTGCAGTCAGAAAGTTTTGAGATGGGAACTGGGTTCTGTACTTTGCCATAGTCCTCATCATTCTCCATTTCATAATGGCCTTGCATTACTCGTTTAGATCTGTAAACGTCTGAATGTATGACTGTTGATATAGAGCTTCCCTGTAAGAATCTTATAATGTTCTGAGTTTTTTGGATTGAAAGCTCTGGTGCTTCCTGTCTCAAAACTTGAATGTGGGATGTGAGAGAAAGTCTGTGTCATAAGAAATTGGATGGCTAGAGATGGAGGAAACTCCAGGTAGAGTAAGATTATGGGGAAAGATAAATAATTCAGTTTTGTTCATCTTAAATTTGATGTATTTATTAAATTTCAAAGTGGAAATATTGATTTGGAAGTTGAATATATGAATCTGTAATTCAGTAAACCGATTGGAGTTAGAGATTTAAATTTAGAATTTGTCAAAGTGTAGATTGCCTTTAAAGCCATGGGATTGGTCAGAGAATAGGAGTCTAGATAATTCAGAGAAGATCTAGAACTAAATCCTGGAACACTTAAAAATTAAAGGACATTGTAAAATTTTACAGCTACGATTTGGATACATCATACTGTTTAATTCTTTTTAGTTTTTTTTTTTTTCAGGCAATGCTGTACTTGTATTCTATAGGAAAAAGAAATAGGTATGCATGAAAAATGATTATTGTCTGTAATCACTTGGAACTTAGTATTTGAGTTAGTCATGGCTCACCAGAGAAATAGAATCAGGGAGGGTTCCAGGATGGCAGAGGAAGGAGGGAGCTTACTGCTCTAGCCTAGGAGAAGATAGTTTAAAAAATGTGGAGAGTGTAGTCTCAGGGAAGAGTTAGGGAGAAAATGGCAGAGGAAACTCTACTGAAATTAGAGGGACACAGTGGACCTCTGCAGAGAGCATGGGTGCCCATGGCTTGGAGCCTACGGCCCAGTGCTGGAAAGTGAGGTGATACCACACTGTAGCAGCCTAAGCTGCTGATGAAAAAGCTGTAGGAAGAGCCTAAAGGGAACACAGCTTGGAGCCCCTTGGGGGAAAGTGTATCAGCCAAACTAGAGAAAACAAACAAAAAAGGATGGATAGGACATGTTTCTCTCTCCCTAATCACTTTACAATGGCACCATGTAACAAGCCAATAGAAGAGATGCCGTTTTGGACATAGGTAACAGCTGCGCCAGCTCATGTCTGCCCAAAAAACAGCCAAGTGGAGACTCCTGACTCTGATGGAAGGACTAACAGGAGGTTAAGACCTTGTGACTGTGTGAGGTGTCTGTACTAGGTCTGTGAAAACAAAACAAAACAAAACAAAACAACTGAGGGTGTGTGAGAGGATTCAGGGTGTGGTTGGGACTTAGAGCAGTCTCAGTGGGAGACACCACAAGCTTGGGGGTTCCTGGTTACCTGGTGAGAGACATTGCTGGAGAATCTCAACTTAAACTGAGGACTGCACAGATCCTTTGTGTGGTCCTTGGGACAGAGAAGACAAACATTATACCCACTGGGGCTAGTGCTCAGGCACTGGACTCCATCAAGGAGAGAAGCTCAGCTGTGCAGAATAAACCTCCTTTCTGATTAAAAGAGAGAGGAAGAGAGAGATTTACCACATCAAACCTGGGTGTGTAACCTTAGGCACACCCTTAACATGGAGAACTGAACAGAGCTCTCTGGCCACACCCACTACAAGCCTCTAGATAGATTCACTGAAAGCAGACATTCCACCTATCTACAAGTCATTGTACAGTGATAACAGATGCCATAGCAAAAAAAAAAAATCAATGAGTATCTCCACAAATGCTGAACAACAAATGCACATAATCCAAGAAACAAGAATAAGAAGACAACATCATGCCCCTAAAAGAACACAACACTTAAATACTAGCTTGTGAAGATGATGAGATAGAAGAAATGCAAGAAATGCAATTTAAAAAATTGATCATAAAATTACGTAGAAGTAATCAAAAGCAAATGTACAAACTACTAAAATCCCTACAGGACATGAAAGAAAATTTCTCTCATGAAATTGAAATATTAAAGAGGCATCAAAATGAAATGAAGAATTCAATAGGATATGAAATTTAGATCTTAAAGAGAAATCAAAATGGAATGAAGAATTCAATAGAACAAATAAAAATGCAGTGGAGAGTCATAAGAACAGGATCAGTGAAGCAGAAGAATGAATATTGGACTTAGAAGGCAAAGCACAGGAAAGTATACAGTCAAACTAAAGACAAGAGAAATTAGAAATGAACAACACTATTGGGAATCTACAGGATACTATAAAAAAAAAACATTTGGGTTCTAGGAGTTCCTGAAGACATGGAGAGAGAGAAAGGATTAGAAAGCCTTTTTAGTGAAATAATAGCAGAAAACTTCCCTGGTTTGGAGAAAGAAAGGGACATCCAACTACATGAAGCTCACGGAACTCCCAATAGACATGGCCAGAAAAAATCCTCACCATGACACATTGTAATCAAACTCAGCACAGTAAAACACAAAGAGAAGATTCTAAAATGTGCATGAGAGAAACACCATATTACTTTCAGAGGATCTCCAATTAGACTCACAGCAGACTTCTTATCAGAAACCCTACAGGTTAGGAGAGAATGGCGAGATACAGTCCAAATCTTAAGAGAAAAAAACCTGTCATCCTAGAATATTATACCCTGCAAAGCTCTCATTTGTGAATGAAGGTGAAATAAAGACCTTCCATAACAAACAGAAATTGAAAGAATTTGTCACCACCCGTCCAGCCCCCTACAAAAGATGCTTAAGGATGTGTTGTACACAGAAACAAAGAAACATGATCATCACTACAAAAGAAGGTAAAGGAAGAAAATCTCTCAGTAAAAGATCAAAGGAAATTCAAAGTAAAAATTAGGAATATTTTTGGGAAAATGGCACTGCAAAGTCATTACTTATCAATAGTCAGATTGAATGTAAATGGCATCAACTCCCCAGCTAAAAGACACAGACTGGCTGAATGGATTGAAAAACAAAACTCACCTATTTGCTGCCTACAAGAAACACATATCACTAACAAAGATGCACACAGACAAAATGATGATGGAAAAAGATATTTCATGGCAATAGAGTTCCAAATGAAGAGTTCCAAAAATGAGCTGTTGTAGCCATCTTAATATCAGACAAAATACACTTTTACACCAAAACTGTTAAAAGAGACAAAGAAGGGCACTATATAATTAAGGGATCAAAAGGAAGATGTAACTATTATAAACTCATATGCACCTAATTACTGGGCATCTGTATATTTAATAGAAATGTTAAAGATTTTTTTGAAGATTGATTTATTTATTTTAAAGTCAGAATTACCAAGAGAGAGAAGGAGAGGCAGAGAGAGAGTACTTCCATCCTCTGGTTCACTCCCCATTTGGCTTAATTCCAATTCTTCTCAAGATATTCAAAACAATTGAAAGAGAGGGAATCCTCCCAATTTTTTTCTACAAAGCCAGAATCACGTTAATTACAAAACCTAAAAATATGTAGCAGAGAAAGAGAATTACAGACCAATTTCCCTAATGAAATTAGACACAAATTTTGTGTCTGTGTAGGCGAAAACTGTTGAAGTCTTTACTTAGTATGGAGTTGGTCTTCTTTATATAAATGTAATTAAAAATGAATCTTAATGAAGAATGGAATGGAAGAGGGAGTAGGAGCTGGGACAGGAGTGGGGGTAGGAGGGCAGGTATGGGGAGAAGAACAGTTATATCCCTAAAGCTGTACCTATGAAACTTATATTTATTAAATGGAAGCTTTCTAAAAAAAGTAGAATCAATAGGATATATGGAGATGCTCATGTTTATTTACATATTTATTCACTTGGGAACTGATTCATGCAATTATGGAAGTTGAGAAATCCCATAATGTGCCATCTGCAAGCTGGAGACCAGGGAAACTTATGGTGTAATTCCATTTGAGTCCAAAAGCCCAAGAACCAGAAAAGTTGATGTTATGTCTTTGTTGAAGTCTGAATGTAGGTATAAGGAGGTTATGTTGTTGTAATTCACAAAGTCCAAATTTTCCAGAGCCAGGGGCATATATCTCAGGGCAGGAGAACATGGAAGTTGCAAATCAAGCACACTGAGTGAATTGTCACCTTCTCCTCCTTTTTGTTTTACTCATGGATTGGATGATGCCTCCTCCCCCGCCATACACTATAGAGGGAGGGTCTTCTAGTTATTCTGCTGATTCAAATGCTGATCTCTTCTGAGAACACTCATATCACCTATCTGGACATCTTTTAGTCCAGCCAAGTTGACACAAAAAGTTAATCATCACAGACTCCAAGAAAATTAAAAATTTTGAAGTGAGATCTTGACTAGGTGCTGAGGATAAAAAGGTCAACACAAGTCCTTATTTGAGTCCGCCATATAAAAAACATATCTGTGTTTGTGATATGGGAGCGTATCTTTTCTGCCCTGTTTCTTAAACCTGTGCTTTAAGCCTTGTCCTGTCAAATCTTCACTCAGAGTACCTTTTTTTAAAAAAAATCTTACTTATTTGAGAGAGAGGGTTATAGATAGAGAGAGGGAGAAAGAGAGAAGTCTTCCATCCACTGGTTCACTACCCAAATGGCCACAATGCCCAGAGCTGAGCTGGATTCGAAACCAAGGTAGTTTCCCACATGGTTGCAGGGGCCCAAGCACTTGGGCTATCTTTTACTGCTTTCCCAGGCCATTAGCAGAGAGCTGGGTCAAAAGTCTAGCAGCCAGGACATGAACTCCTGCCAATATGGGATGCCAGCATTGCAGACAGAGGCTTAGCTTCCTATACCACAGCACTGGTCCTCAGAGTAACTTTTAAATCTGACCATGTCTTCCATTTTCAATGAAGCAGTCAGAATTATCTTTCAAAAAAATGCAAGGGAGGAGTAAGAGAAGGAAGAGGAGAGGGTGAAGGAAAATGAGGAGGGAAGAAAGATTCATTGGTTTCCCACTGTCCTTGCGATAGACTTCAAGCCTTCCATTTCCACTTTTACTGTCTCTCTAAGCCTGTGAGTCCCCCTCAATGCTTTCTGCCCTTTCCTGCATGCACCATGGCTAACATGTTCATCCGGCCTTGGGGGCAATCCCATGAGGCTGCCTGCCTAGCTCATGCAGCTAGCCTGACTGCTGGCAGGCAGCAGGACCCCCAGGCACATCTCTCCCCATCCCCGCCTTCTTCCAATCAGGTAAACTGCTCCAGGCCCACCTGGAAAGCTACCCTAGCTATGTGACCTTCAAACTGATTGGAGAGGCATATTGGCACCAGTGTCAGTCCTGTCCTATAGAATTAGTGTTGCCTTGAATTATTTATGCCCCTTCTGCCTGCACTTTAAAAATATACATGGCTGTGAATAAAGATGGACATGTTCACCAAAGCCAGTCCCTGGTGCTTCTTGTGGGAAGAACACCATCGCCCTGCTCTCCTAAGTACCCTTTAGGTCTTAGCTTAAAGGTCAAATCTATATCCCCACCCTTATGTTTCCACCAGATTTGGACGCTGGTACTTGCTTCCATAAGCCCTTTTACTTCTCATGAAGCTTAAAATATGCTGTTTATTTGGACTCAGGAAAATTGTGTTGGTCTTAATAACTAAAAGTTACTAAGAATATGAGGTAAGCAATGACTGAAAGACCTAACATTTTATTCTCACTGTACTGCATGTTTGCTTTTTAATGGATCTTTAAAAGGTGAAGCTATGAGTTGCACTGGGAAAGAAGGCTGAAAATGTCAGGGGAAACATTTTGAAGAAGCTCTGCATTTCTCAAAGTGTTTGGATCTGGGAATAATGTAGTAATTCCCTGTGTCCTTCTTCCTTTAGAATAGGAGCTAAGACCAGAGGGCAAAGCTGTGTCCAGCATGAATAGAAGTCCTGCACATCCCCGGGGAACTCACTTCTCTTTTTCTCTTCCCTGCCTTAGCATTTTACTAGGTAAGAAGCACTCTTCCTTTCTTGAGTTCATGTAAATTTATTTGGAATTACTTACCCCATCCTGAAAGCTGTTCCTTATCTGCCTGTTTTTAATTTGCTGGAAATTTTAGAAAAGATGATTTATGGATGTGTCAAATAACTCACGTTTGAAGTAACTTAAATATCAGCTTCATTTGTTCTGAATATTTCAAATATGGAACAAAATATTTTGTCATTAGAGTTTACAGAGGCTTTAGTAGGAACTAAATACGCACTTTTTACCTGTCACAGCATTCTAATTGCTCAAGTGTTCTCATGAGATGACTAATATTTCAACCTCTCTCCTTTCTTCCTCCCTTTCTCACTGCACCCTTCCTCTCTTTGTCCCTTTCTTTTGTATAGTCAAGAATATTTAAAGATTCATGGAAAAACAGATGATTTAACCAGATGATCAAGAGAGATTGGGAAATAAAGATTAAGGATGTGTGAGTTAGAAAGTGGTAGATGTGCTTATTGGAGTGCAAAGGAAGGGTGAAGATTCTGTACTAAGTGCTAGTGGTCCCTATTACAAGAAAGAGCAACCAGTATAAAGAGTACTCCACTAAACCACAAAGCTAATGGGACAGAATTTGGTCTCTTGACACCATCCTATGTTATTAGGTGCCAATACTCAAACAATGTTGCATGAATGGGCTAGCTCTAATAACAGGAAAGGAGGCTACACATTAATCCAAAAATATGTGTTCCCAGTCCCCAACTCTAATCTGGCCATTGGCCTGGGCAAATATCATCTACCAGCAAAGGAGATAAATGATAACTCTCCATCTCCACCCAGGTATGGCATTAACCCTTAAGACCACTTGGTAAAGAGCCTTCCCTGGATTTTGTTACCCTATAAAAGTCACTAATTCATTTTAGTAGGAAATGATGTGTATTTCTGGGTTCAGTTTGCTTTTCTTACAGGGATTCAGCTTGCATAACTTTTTAAAGACTTAGTGATAAATCCAACAACATGGCATTTAATGTAACATTCCATCAAACCACGTGACCCACTTTACAGGAAAGTAGATCCAAGAGTGGTGACCATATGCTCCACTGATTCTATCATAGTCTGCTCCTTCCAGAACCTTCTAGACCAATGGATTGATGGAAAAGCCTATTGAAGACACAGGTTAGCTCGGGGTGTTATCTTGTAAGTATTGTATACATCCTTTCAGAATTAATATGCATACCAGATAAACAGCAATTATGTAGTATTGTGTACCCAACAGGTAAAATACATGGGAACCGAGATGGGAGCTATACCAGCCTCAATTACCATCAAGTCACTTGACCCACTTGGGGATTTGGCATCTAGGCTCTGTGGATTTAGATGTTCTTTCTGATGCCTGAAGGAGATAAGCTTCTACCATGGAATAAGCATGCATCAAATGGAATATTAAGCTATTGCTGGAAACTTCACCTGGAAACCTCAGACTCCTCATGCCACAAGACCAGGAGGAATGAAGAAGAAATGTGATCTTGTGAGGGTTAATAAGCACTAATCTTTGGAAGCATTTGGGCTACTCTTACACAATGGGTAGTCTATTTATGTTTAAGGTTATCATTGATAAGTAGTGATTGGGTCCTATTGTTTGTTTGTTAATATACCTATTGTTTGTTTTGAATCTCCCTTTTCTTTTACTAGCAGGTTTTCCACCTTCACATTCTTTCCTGATGGTGATTGTCTTTCTCTGTTTCACTGTGTAAGTATCATTTGTAAGGCTGACCAGTTGGTGGCAAATTCTTTCAATTTTTACTTGTCTTGAAAGGTCTTTATTTCACCTTCATTTATGAATGAGAATTTCACTGGGTTAAGTAGTCCAGGTTGGCAGTTTGTCTCTTAGAACTTGGACTATATCTCTTCATTTTCTTCCTGCCTGTAAGGTTTGTTGTGAGAACTCTGCTGTCAATCTTGTGGGCATTCCTTTAAAAGTGAACTGGTGTTTCTGTCTTGTGAATTTTAGTGTATCCCCTTTATGTTTGACTTTTAAAAGTTTAACTATAATGTGTCATGGTAAGGATCTTTTCTGATCATGCCTATTTGGGCTTCTATGCACTTCTTGTATTCGGATGTCCATACTTTTCTCCAAATTAGGGAAACTTTCTGCTATTATTTCATTGAATAGGTTTTCTAAGTCATTCTACTTTTTTTTTCCTATTCTTTCAGGAACCCCTAAGACTCACATATTTGATTATTCGATAGTATCCCTTAGATCCTGAATACTGTTTTCATTCTTTCTAAATTTTCTTCTTTTTTTTTGTCTGAGATATTTCAAAAGAACTGTTTTTTATGTCAGATTTTTTTTCTGCCTCACCAAGTCTGTTGTTAAGGCTTTCCACTATATTTTGTATTTGACTTATTGAATACATCATTTCTAATATTTCTGTTGTTTTTTCAATATTCCTGTCTCTTTGCTAAATTTTTCATCCATGTCAAGCACTCATATCCAATTTAATTTAACTGGTTTTTTTTGTATTTTTTTAGTAACCTTACAGTTATTCTTTTGGATTCTTTTTCAGACATTTTATTAATCTTCCCTTCCTCAGAGTACAATATTAATATACAATTGTGGTTTTTTTGTTCATGTTCCTTGTGTTTGTTGGTTTTTGTGCATCTGGGGAATCTCTTGTTTCTCTCTCTTCTGGGAAATTTCTTTTTTGTGTTTTAATTAAAGGCATTATTCCTGGAGATATGTCTCTAGAGCTCAGTGGAGTGCTTAGGGCTTACACTTAAGCTCCAGATATGTACTGGGTAGAGCTGGAGAACTTCTGCCACCATTTGTGGGTGGGGCAAGAGTCCAGAGTGACTTCAATATAAGCATGGTGGAGCATCTCTGGCTACGAGTCAGTGGCCATCGGCGATTTTTGAGCCAACTGCTGACACAAAGTCTTCACTTTTCTCTTTGCTTGGGTGATTCACAGCCCAAAGTGATTCCACAACATGAGTTAGAGTCCACCCACTCAGGGTGTGCACTGTATGAAGCACAGAGTCACTCCATAGTGTGTTCCTTTACCACTGTGAGATCTAGTTCCAGTGTGCAGGGAGTTCTGAATTTCTACAGTCAGGTTGGGTGGTTGTGATATCTGAATTTGACCCCTTAAAATATAAAAAAAAAATGTGGCCCCTTATAGTTCCCCAAAAGTCCCATCTGGGGTGCCACATGTGTTATCGGAATTTGGGGTACCATACGATATCACCATATGCTTATTAATAAGTTCTCAATATAAAAAAGCCTATGTGGGTTCTTGCCTAATATTCAGAGAATTCTGAATACCGGCATAAATAAATGAGGCAGCATGGTACATTTTAAGCTTTTATTGAGTACAAAAGATGCTTAGGAGAGTGAGGGCTTTATCTATAAGAGAGAGGTAGATCTGGGTTCACACCAAGTACCAGGAACCAGCCATGTGGAAGAGAATCTAGGCCAGGAAGCATGGAGTGGGTGGCCCAAGGCCAGGTGCCCTGGAGACGCAGGGTTACAGCCAGCCCCCTACTGGCAAGAGGCCAGGGCGAAGAAAGGGGGAAAGGGCTGGACACACCCTGTCCCAAGCTTTTAATCCACTTTCAAAGGAGAGTGATTAATTAATCTGATTGGCTGGTGGACACTAGGTGTGGCCAGGTAGGGGCATGAGGTCACACAGGCATGGTCTTCTAGCTCAAAAACCTAATAAATTTTAATCTGTATGCCTGTCTACTTCAGTTGCACAAGAACCCAGCTATACCCATGACTTGCCAAGCTTCATGACTGCCCAGAACTCCCACAGATATAGGGGCTCTGCTCTCTGTCCTATAAACTGCCTGGTCTCTATCTACAGTAGCCCCTGACATCAGCAGGAAGGTCTTCCATCTCTTGAGTCAGAAAATAGTCCAGCAGTGGCTCAACCATAGCAAACTATGCCTGGCAATTTGGTTCAGGGAGACAAGGGAGGTGATGCAGCTTCCCTTTTTTGAGTAAAGTAGTCACTTAGACCTCTGTTAGCTCCCCAGGCTGGATGTGAAGTCAGAGGGGACTCTGGAGTTCTTCCTCAATTAAAGCTGGGGGCGGTAGGGACTGCAGCACCTTCTTTCTATCTTCTCTTGGCAAGAGGCATTTCCCAGCTAGGTGCTGGTAGCATAGATGCAGGAGCGGCTGGAAGTGCAGCCAACAGTGCTGTGTGCCTTCTTTCTTTACTTCCCCATGGAGACTCTGTTCTGTTCTGTTACTTTTCCACTAAAAAATTCTGTCAATCAGTCCCCTGGAAATGTGGTCTTTCCTTCTTTTTTCTGGTATCTTTCTGTGGCTGAGGTTAGTGTAGCTTCTCATTATTCAACCATCCGCAATGCCAGCTTTGTGATTTAAACACTCTAGTACTTCATGCCCAAATGATCCAAATGCAAAATGCCTTTCATTTTCTATTCCTTTTAAAAAAAATAAAAAGGAAGATGGTCAAGACTTCAGTTTATGTTCTATTTATACTTAATTCAAATGGGTTATTATTGTAGACTAAAAAGATATCTGGAGGAAAAAAATTTTAACTAGAGTGCAAATTTTACCTAGTAAAAGTTTTTTTTTAATTTTCCCTCAGAGAACACCTACTTTTCTGCTTGAATGTGTTATATGCCATTCAAACTGAAGAATATGGATGTGAGAAAAATATTTAATTCATTCCTCTCATTTGCATGTCTTCAGGGCTTTTATACTAACACTTAGTTGTGATGCCAACAAACACCAATTTTGAAGATTCCAAAGGTCTCTCTTTCTTCCAAACAGTCTCCTTCCTTTTGCATGTTTAAAAAGTAAACCTGAAGGTAGCACTGCAAAATTCCTTTAGCAAGAGCTCTGTTCCTTTACTAATAATATGCTTTATTTTAACTAAATCCCAAGAGTTTGCCAGCTGTCTCCCCTTATTGGATTGAAGGTGGGAGGGAGGGAGGGAGATGAAGCAAACTGATGATTATTAGATCTTGTGAGGATGGCAGAAAATATTTCCAATTTTATTTTATTAGGCTCATAATGACAAAGAAACTGTAAGCTCATAAAAGCTTACTTCATTCACATATTTTTTGGCCAATGAAAAATTTCACTGTTGCCAAGTAAAAATGCTTCCTTTATTTCTCTCACTTCTGCTGACATACAATTTTTTTTGGAAAGATTTAATTAGAATCAGAAAGCAGCTGATGCAGCCAGAACTGTTGATGGAGACAAGGTGTTTGGTAGCTGGATCTAGCTTTATAAAAATATTTCCCTGGTTTTGCTATAGATGAGAGTGAGGAGGCACAGTCCTCTGGCACCAAAGCACTCCCATCACACTGGAGTTCTTTCACTACTGGGAAAAAGGGAAAACTAGAACTGCATGTACTTTTCTGCCAATATGGATGCTGCTGACCTTGGAGGTTTCAAAAGAATAAACCTGGTTTTATGATTTTTGGAATAGCTGCTACAATGCAATTCCTGATTAATTCTGTAGGGAAAAATGATTTTGTTCAATCTGTTTAGTTCCATACTTATATCCAGAAATGAAAGAGTTAAAGATGCTGAGAAAATAAATACCTTTTATCACCATGATTTTGCGGGAGGGAGTAGGCGTATCCATTTGACGCTTGCCAACACTTGCTTTTCTGTTTACTTCCCTCTTGTGTAATCATTCTTCATGATGCTCTTGTTGATGTTAACATTTAATGAGTGCCAAAAATATGTTAAACCCTTCATGGTACATAGAATGAGCAGGCCCTTTCTCTAAGGACACACATCAAGACACAATAGGGATAGAAAAACTAAAGATTAAAACAGAAGACACAACCACCGAATTAGAAAATGAATTCCACCAGCAATTCTCAAACAACACAAAATAGTAGCTCTCCCCAAATGAAAAACAAAACACAACCCACAATGAAGCTTATTAATTGAAGGTCAAACCATATGTAGTTGAGGATATAGAAAATGCTTATTAACTTATTCTTTATCCTTATTATTGCAAAATACTGGGACAGGGCCTGTGTGGGATAAAAATGGGTTTCCATGATGATATAATCTCAAGGAATTTCTGATCTAGTAAGAAAAATAAAGACAAAAATAAAAATAACATCTATGCTAACAACATAACCCCTACATACATAATCATAGGAATTCAGTGACTCCTTCCAAATAATACAGATCTTCCCCAGTTTACAATGATTTGACCCAAGATATTTTTTACTTTACTGTAATATGAAAATGATATGCATTCAGTAGAAACAGTCCTTCAAATTGTGAATTTTATCTTTTTTGGCTTGTGAAATGAGGCTTGATATTCCTACCCCATGATCATGAAGGCAAACAACTGACATTCTACAGAGTGTTTGTTGTTAAGCTATGGTGTTCACCAGATTAACTGAAAAATCTATTTAGCTGACACTGTGGCATAGCTGGTAAAGCCACCGGCTACAGTTCCAGCATCCCAAATGGGAGCCAGTTTGAGTCCTGGCTGCTCCACTTCTGATCCAGCTCTATGCTATGGCCTGGGAAAGCAGAAGAAGATGGCCCAAATCCTCGGGACCCTGCACCAGTGTGGGAGACCCAAAAAAAGCTCCTGGCTCCTGGCTTCAGCTCAGCTCAGTTCTGGCCATTGCAACCATTCGGAGAGTGAACCAGCGGATGAAGGACCTCTTTTTTTCTCTGCCTGTACATCTCTATAACTCTGCCTTTCAAATAAATAAATAAATCTTTTAAAAAATCCCTTTAAGCATATTTGTAACTCAGGATGGATTTACTGGGATATAACCTTATTGTAAGTTGAGGAACATTTGTATCAATTTCTATCCATAATCCTTAATTTGAACCATATCATGTCCTTACTGATCTACTTGCAGTATTGATTTTTCTCAACCATTTTTCATTTAATAGTTGGTGGAGCTTTTTTCTTCCAGAGAAGGCCCAAAGGGCATGTAAGACTTGGAGCCCTGAAAAGAAGTAGGAATGTTCTGGGAAGAAGAAATTCAGATGTGAGGCACAAAAGGGAAATGCTAGAACTTAAGGAAATGCAACATGTGCCTGGGCCTGGGTAGTGGGTTATGAAGACGTGGGGAGGGGATGGGAGGTGAGAGAATCAGGCTGGGTCCCACAGGTTTTGAGGAGTTTATGCTCTTGCTAAGATGAAAATAACTGAGGGAGGACGTGCATTTGACACAGTCATTAAGATACTGCTTGGCATTATGCTGAGTGAAATAAGCCAGTCCCAAAGGGACAAATACCATATGTTCTCCCTGATCGGTGACAATTAACTGAGCACCAAAAAGGAAACCTGTTACAGTGAAATGAACACTATGAGAAATGATGACTTGATCAGCCCTTGCCCTGACTGTTGATGAACAACTTAATACGTTATCCCTCTTAGTATTTTTTGTTTGTTTGTTCTACTTAATACTTTTGGTTGAATACTGCAATCAATACACAGTTATTCTCAAGTGTTGAAACTTAACTGAAAAGTGATCGCTGTTAAATATAAGAGTGGGAATAAGACAGGGAAGAGATGTGCAATTCGGGACATGCTCAAGCTGACTTACCTCAAACGGTAGAGTTAGAAACATACCAGGGGATTCCAATTCAATCCCATCACGGTGGCATGTACCAATGCAATCTCACTAGTACAAGTGATCAATTTCAGTTCACAACTGATCACACTGATAGGTCTAAGAGTCAACGGGATCACACAAACAAGACTAGTGTCTGCAAATACTAGCTGACAGAATAAAAAAGGGAGAGAACTATCCAACATGGGAAGCGAGATACACAGCAGACTCATAGAATGGCAGATGTCCTAAACAGCACTCTGGCCTCAGAATCAGTCCTTAAGGCACGCGGATCCAGCTGAAAAGCCCATGAGAGTATTACAGGCATGGAAAGCCAAAACACTCTGGCAAAAACAAAAACAAAAACAAAAACAAAAATTAATGAAAGATCTCCGTGAGTGAGATCCCAGTGTAAAGAACAGGTCAGCAAAGAAGGAGGTACCTTTCTCTGAAGGGAGGAGAGAACTTCCACTTTGACTACGACCTTGTCTAAATATGATCAGAGTCGGTGAACTCAAAAGGCTTCCATAGACTTGGCGACTCATGACAAGAGCCTAGGGTGATTACTGATGCCAAAAACAAGAGTGTCAATTTGTTAAGTCAACAACAGGAGTCACTGTGCACTTACTCCTTAGGTAGGATCTCTGTCCTTAATGTGCTGTACATTGTGATTTAATGCTATAACTAGTACTCAAACAGTATTTTTCACTTTGTGTTTCTATGTGGGTGCAAACTGTTGAAATCTTTACTTAATATATGCTAAACTGATCTTCTGTATATAAAGAGAATTGAAAATGAATCTTGATGTGAATGGAAGGGGGGAGGGAGAGGGAAAGGGGAGGGTTTCGTGTGGGAGGGAAGTTATGGGGGGCGGGAAGCCATTATAATCCATAAGCTGTACTTTGGAAATTTATATTCATTAAATAAAAGTTAAAAAAAAAGATACTGCTTGGGACACTTGCATCCCATATCAGAGTGCTTGGGTCTGAGTCCACTCTTGATTCCAGCTTCCTGATGGTGGGCACCGTGGCAGGCAACAGGTGATGGTTCAAGTAATTGGGTTCCTGCAACCCACATGGGAGACACAGATTGAGTTCCTGGCTCTCAGTTTTGGCCTGGTCCAGTCCTGGCTGATGGAGGCATTTGAGGGATGAACCAGAAGATGGAAAATCTCTCAACTTAGATCTCTCTCTCTCTCTCTCTCTCTCCCCTCTCTCTCTCAAAAAAAAAAAAAAAAAAAAAAGTAAAGAAAAATGTGCAATTAATTTAATTTTCAGGAAAAGGAAACAATTGGAGGTTAGAAGATCTTAGAGATGTTTATGACACTGCATTATACATCCTGCTTTCCACATCTTGCTGTCTGGCTATCTAGTAGGACATTTACTTTACAAATTCCAGGTCATTGTGATTTCCTTTCTATGTCTATAAAGGAGAAGCACATCTCCAGGTCCAGAGATACGGCAGATGGATCTAACACAGAGATATCTTTCCTTTAGTTACACTTGTCTATGCTGTATAAAATATTTAAAACAAGGTTATAATAATATAAAAAGCCAACCTTATGACAAAGAAAAGCTTCAAGTGCCAGAAATAAATTGTTAAATAAAGGCAAAGCAGTGAGAGTCCAACTGCCAAAGGATATTTAATCCAGATAAAAGACTTAAAGGCTAAAACCTGCAAGTTTAACAGCCTTTCAGGAAATCCCAAGCTAGGACTCTAGGCATTTTTTGGGGCATCATTAAAACCAACACATACTGGGTGGCTCACAACAGAAATGTAGTCTGGCACAGCTCTGGAGGCCAGAAGTCTGTAATCAAATTATTGGCAGCACTGGCTCCTTCTGGAGGCTCTGAGGAGGTGTCTGTTCCACATGTCTCTCCTAGCTTCTGGTGATGGCTGTCAGTCTGTGGCATTCCTTGGCTTGTATCACTCCAAGACCTGCATCCGTTGTCACATAGCCTCCTTCCCTGTGTCTCTCCCCCTTTCTCCCTTTATACAGACTTCCATCATTGTGTTTAGGGCCTACCCTAATTAAATAACACCTTATCTTAACTTGGTAACATCTGTAGACTCTATTTCCAAATAAGATTATGTTCACACATACTATGAATAGAACATACTGTTTTGGAGAACATAATTGAACCCAAACAAGGTTATGAGTGTAACTTTGGTCTCAGAGCAGTGAACACATAAAGTTCCACATGAAACAAATTTAAAAACCCTCAATTTAAAAAAATCCTGTAATCAGGGCACATGACATTCCAAAAACACATAAACATACACCCATAAAGATAAGCTTACAATAATATATGTGTAAATGATCTATCATGAAAATGATCATGAGAAGAAATTAGCAAGTTGAAC